ATGGGGTAGGGGGTGGCTACTTCTCGTGCAATCATTTTACAAGTCTACTTACCATTATAAGAGAGCTTGTCCACCCAACCAAAAATCTATCAACGATTACTAAAACAAAACATTGATGATGTCATCAATTTCTTAAAGTGCTTACAGGTCAAACCCTCATAAAAAATTTTCCCTCCAAATTTCACTTATGATGTCATCATTTTTTTTAATCTTTTTTTTTGTGTGCCTTTTTTAGCTAGAAACTATGACCAATTAGGTGTGAAATTTGAATTTGACATCAATATTATTGTATATACTCCACACTACTTTTGGATATTTATAATACAACAATATTAAATAGCTATATATATTGGTAGCTAATTATACACATTTTTTTTAACAAATTAATACACATTTTTGTAAATTTTTTTTAATAGTAAATACACATTTATTTAGCTTCCACTCTAAGCGTATAAGCTTAATGGATTATACATTTATACAACATTAATATATTTAATCTAACCATCATTTTAGTATATTTTTAATAACGTAGTAAATATTACATTATGATGCAACATTTTATAACTATTTTTTTTAAGTACATCTTTTTTTTATATATATTTATATAACAATTTTTTTTTAAAAAAAAATAACAAGCCAAATCATATTAGAAAGTTACCAACAACAAAAAATAAATAATTATAGAAAAATTACTAATTAACCATTGTGCAACGCACAAGTACTAATCTAATATAAAATATACCTTAAAAACAGACTAATTAATTAAAAGGGACGAAAGGAGTATCAAAATACGTGTTAGTATTAGTTGAGTCCTGCTATCAAGTGTAGAAAAATCAAACACTTTTGACGAGCGACCAACTAATACATACTTACTCTCATTAGACTATTTTATTTTACGCTATTTTTTATTTTATATTTTGTGGACATTATGTATTTCTAAAGTCTCTAATATTGTCTTGTTATACGAAGTACTATTAGTGATTTAGTTTAATGGTACAAAGTAGAAAGGACAAAAGGAGAAGCATGTGCGTAGATGTAGATAGCACAACATCAAAGAAAACTTAGCTCAAGGCTTACTAGACTATTCAACTCTAATACTGTAATTGTATATAATTAGAAAGTTCAATTTTTTAACTCTCTTTTTCGATCTATATTCGTCAAATCAAAGTACGATTCTGCTGGATGAATGTGACTTTTTGAAAAGGATTTGAAAATTTATGGCATAGTTTGATTAGATTTTCATTAATTTTGAAAAGCACCAATAATCAATTCATGAAGAATGGAAGGAGTGTTTAATCATTCAATTTATAATACTTGTTTAAAGAAGGAAAAATTGCCCGCAATAATCCGACCTTTTGGCCGTCCGCTGAAAATAATCCCACCTATGGATTATTTTTAAATAATCCCACCTTTACCCCCCTTCTTTTTTATTGGTCCCAACCGGTCAATTAACTTGTTATAGCAAGTTACTAGACACGTGTCGGCACCTGATTAGTCTAAAATTTTTTAAAAAAAAAAAACAAATAATTAATTTTAGAAACCACCCACCACCCACTAGCCAAACCACCATCTCTACCACCGATCCAGGCGCCCTGACCCCCCTGCCACCGTTCCCGGCGCGCCGACCTCACCTGCCACCCTCCCATGAACCACCGTCGAACCCCCTCCCCTGAACCACTTCGAACGCTTTCCTCCTTCACGAAATCTCCCCCTTGAACCACCCTCAAACCCTCACGAAACCAGGATTGCCTCCCTTTGAACCACCGTCGAACCACCTGCCTCCCTCACGAAACTAGGCGCATGAACCCCCTTCTCCTCAACCACCCTCGAACCTCCTCCCTCCGTCACGAAATCCGGTGAACCTCCTCCCTCCGTGAAATCAGGTGCCGCTGAACCTCCTCCCTCCGTCATGAAACCACGACTACGGTCCCCCTTGCCTCGATTTCTGCCGCTCAGCCCACCGCTCTCCTTCCCCCGTCACGCGAGCTCCGTTCTGATGGTATGGTGGATCGGAGGAGTTGGATTGGTGGAGTATTGTGGTGGCTGGGGCTGGTGGAGTATTGTGGATCGGAGGAGGTGGCTGCTCCTTTTTTTTTAAAATTCATTTTTTTAATTTTAAATTTTAGACAAATTGTATGGTGACACGTGTCTTTTATATCCAAAAAAAAAAAATTACCTTTGTAACAGGTAACCGGTAACTTGGGACCATTGGGAGAATATCGGGGGTAAAGGTGGGATTATTTAAAAATAATCCAAAGGTGGGATTAATTTCAGCGGACGGCCAAAAGGTCGGATTATTGCGGACAATTTTCCCTTTAAAGAATGGGTTCTAAATTTCTAAGGAAAACTATGACCACCTTGTAATTTATTCCTCTCATGTCGTTATGTGTAACATTTATTTTATGTTATACTTTCTCCGTTTCTTTAACATTTGTTATACTTTGCCTTTAACACTATTTTTATGTTTTAATTTGATTAGTTAGTTTTGATGATCTATAGCTACGTAAAAATATAGTCATGTGCTATCTTGGTAGATTTGTATCGCTTAATAGTAAAAATAAAAAAATCATATGTTTTAAATTTTTACATATTGGTAATTAAAGATTTTAACTATTGAATTGTTAAATTGGTAAGCGTTAAAAGAGAAGTATCGCAAGTGAAAAAAAAAATTAAAAAATAAAACTGAGAAAGTATTATTAAAATATCACTATTTTCCCCCTCCGTCCATCGTAACCTCATCTCAATTTTGGGGTTGGGGTTGGGGTTAGGGGAGGGGGAGGGGAGGGGGGCTAATTTGGGGGTCGGGGGAGGGTGTTTTACGAGTCGTGAAAGGGAGGGGGGATGTTTCGGTGGTGGTGAGGGACTGAGGGATATATGACAGAGCGGCGTTTTCGAGGTGGGGGAGGTTTTGGATAGAGGTGATAATATCATCCAAACCCGATGGATAACCATCCACCCAATCCAAATATATATGGATGAAAATCCAAACTTAAGCAAGTGACGGGTGGATGATGGATGGGTTGGGTGACGAATCAAGTCGGATTCGGATGATCATGCATCCAGCCCATCACCCGACCCATCCATCCACCCGTTAAATTTATGTATAAAAAAATAAAAAAGTATTTTCTTTAATAATTTAATGTCTATTGTAATGTTAGGAATTCACATTTATTTTTAATTTATTAAAAAGGAACAATTATTAGGACATATCAAAAAATTTTAATAAATTGATCATTTTTTTTTCAAATCTTGATTTTAATTTTGAAAGTGCAAAGTTGTATTCATGTATTTATTTCACCCGAATTATCACCCGATCCACCCGATTCATCCATAGATGACGAATGGATAGGATGTGGATGGAGGAAAATTAAGTGACGAATGGGTTAAATGATGGATGGATCATTGGTGGATGGAGTCGGATGAAGCATCAGATTAGCCAACCCACCTCTGATCCATTGTCATCTCTAATTTGAGGTGAGGGGGCTGGCTTTTCTGACGGGTGAGGGAAGGGAAAGGGGTCGGGTGGGGTTTGGTTTTTCCGTAAGGGGGAAGGTGAGGGGCGGGTTGGTGGTTCTAATTAAATTTATTTTATTTTCTAAAAATTTTAGGGCTTGAAATACATATGCATGTCAAGTAAGCTGTTATAATAAGTTGTTGACTTTTATCCTCACTCCATAACCCATGGCGGGTATGATTTTTATCCCTATTCCCATCCCATCACCCACCAAACCAGGACCCGAGACGGGGATGTGATGGGTCTCCTACTTGACCCGCCCCACTGACATTCTAATAAAAATAGTCTTGTTTGGTATTTCCTAACTTTAAGGCTTCAAAATAATCTGCACCGTTTCATTTTAACGGTAAGGACGTGGTAAAAAATTGTAACCGACGAGTACCATGTGTAATGAGTGCATGGTTCGTGCAGGCGGATGCACGATCCACATGGTGCATCTCTTCCCAAAAAAAGTGGAAAGAACATTACATAGAAATATAAAGAACATTTAATTTAAGTGAAAAGAAAATATTATAGAATTGTAAAGAACATTGTATAGAAATGTAAAGAACATTCAGTTAAAGTGCAAAGAACATGTTATAAAATTGTAATGAACATAATGTGCAGTTAAATAATGTTCTTTATCTTCATGTTCTTTGATTATCAGAATAATGTACTTTTATTTGTGACATATGCTAATTGTTTATTTTGAAATATTCTTTGAATTTTGTCTTTAGATTATGGTGGTTTAATAAAAATAATGTTCATTACAATATATTATCATTAGAGGTGATAAAAAATTCAGGTCGGGCTGGGCCTTAACATAATATCTCGTGTCAAGCCGGGAAAATGTAGTGGGCTTTTCGGGTTTTTTCAGGCCGAGTTTGGATTTTTTTTTAACTAAAAATGCATTTTTAGGCTTGTCTAAACCCGCCCTATTTTCGGGCTTGATCGGGCCGGGCCGGGTCGGGTCAGGTCGAGCCAAAGTTGATCACCTCTAATTATCATGTTTTTAATTAATATTACGGATGTTCTTTAGATATACATATAAAGAACATGAAATTGGATGTTTTTTTTACAAAATAGGTATATGTTCTTTATAAAACAACTATATGTTCATTACTATACAGCTATATGTGATGTTCTTTATGAAATAACTATATGTTCTTTACAAAATAAATGTATGTTCTTTACTAAACAACGGAATGTTCATTCCGCGTTTTTAAAGAGAAAACGGATGCACGGAGCATCGTGCATCCGCCTCCATAGAAAAAATTTCATATATGTAATATGGAAAAATAGTAGACCTAGCTTGGAAAAGTCCGTAACACAAGGACATTATGTAGAAAACCCTATTTACTAAGCTTGATGGAGTTTACCACATCAACCCCTAAGTCAATCTTAAGCTTCAATTTCTATATAAACTTCCCATTTGGAACTTTAATTTCTTGTACCCACTTCATAAAAATATTACGGAGTATAACCATTATTATTACTAAGTAGTACCATGTCTCTTTCTTTGTTCAATAGTATTCTTCTCTTATTCTCTTTGTTATTAGCATCCCCTACCTCCCAGCTACAACTACACGAGAAGCACCACCACCAACGCCATGGTAGCGGCTTAAAATCACTCCGATTCACACTATACGTACACGAAACATTCAACAAGACGGCCTACTTCATAGTAAAAGGTGTCACGGGGTCAAGTGGTATAACCACAACATCCAACCCCTTTGGCTCTCTTTTTGCCTTCAATGACCCTCTTAACGAAACACCCGATCCATCCTCCAAGGTCATTGGCTACACGGAGGGCTCCTCGGTCACTTCGAGTTTTGATGGAGAGCGCACCACAGGCATTTCAAGGATTACATTGAACTTGAAAGGCTACAAAGGTGAACTCTTGAATGTTGGTACTGCTCATTACACCCAAGTTTCGGAACTTCCTTTTATTGGTGGGACAGGAGATTTTAGATTTGTACAAGGTTACATGACCACTTCAGTTGTTGATCTAAGTGCTCCCACAACTTGTTACAAGCTTGACTTTAATCTCTTTTGGCCTCCTTATGCAGCTCTAGCGCACTACTAGAGCGACATAGTCGATTAAATCCAACCTTTATTTTATTTTTTAATTATTTTTTTTTTCTTTTGCAATCTTTGAATAAGGAATATAATTGATTGGGTAATGCCTTATATGAATAATTTCGGTAAAAATAAGACTACAACTCTACAATGTTTGTATTGATGACAAAAGCCTTGATGAAATTTTTAGCAATGCAAAACACTTCTCTCATAATAATATCATATCCCAATTCAATAAATGAAAAGAGTAACAACAAGAATATGATATTATTATGAGAGAAGTAAATTTTATTCAATTGAATTTACTTAACTAGTAGATAAGAAACGTGTCAACAAGAATAATATACACTACCTTTTTTAGTTGACACTTATTCTTTTTTGAGAAGTTTATTTTTACTTGACACGTTTCTATTATATTAATTAAGTAATTTTTTTTTTATTATTGAATAGTCAATTATTTTACCTTCATTCTTAATCTTTCTCCTCATAATGACTCGTGTGACCCAATCTCTCTCCTTTCCACCCAGCAGATCACACTGTTTTATATTTTCTCTTCTTCATTCCTCACAACCACCACTACCACCATTGTCACCACCTCCACATCCCTTATTCCTTTATCATTGACGACATATTCTCTTTCATCCTCCTTGCCTCCTCCACTCGACACCTCATCTCTCCTCTCTCTGATCTACGACACCGTACCATCGCCATCTCTATTATAACCTTGCATCAATTCCTCTTTCAATTCGCCTCCACATGCATCATCACCATATATAACCACGAGATTAAATTTTGATATCGATCTACTAGAGACTCACATGGAAACCCCATCTCAAACGAATTCAATGCATCAATTTTTTTGTCTTCCTCCTTTAAATCATTAAATGTCTAGAGCTTCAACTGTAGTACGTATACTGACTTAGACCAAGACGTACTACTGAACCAAATCTTAAACAACCTGCTATATAAAATGGAAAGAGTTATGATTCAATTCTCTTGCTTGCTTTTGCTTTTGTTGATATATTCCTTTTCTTCGCTGATACGTTGTTATTAATGTCTGATACGTTTCTAATGTATGTTGATTGATATCATACATCAATTAGCTTATATGTTCCTTTTATTGGCTGATATTTATATTTTGTTGGCTGATCAACGTAATTAACCATTTCATCCAACAAAAAATCAGAAATTTTACAAGAATATATATATATATATATATATATATATATATATATATAAAGTAACACAAGTTCAAAAAGTAACATACTACGCATCTCCCAATTCGACCACCATAACCACCGTCACAACCGCAACACACTCCCCCACCATGACTACCCAACCAAAAACAGCAGCACCGAGCCATTGCTGCTCCCCAACTACCGCCAATTAGCCACCAGCAGCGAACTCCCAGCAGCCGTATTTATGAGCCATTTGCACCATCAATCAGTCACAACCCCCTCACCACATCAATTCCCAGTAGCCCACGCGACATGCACCTCCCCAAAATCACCCATCCATTGCAGCACCACCTCCAACTACCGTCCACAACTATTAGATTCAATTGCAGTTATCACCCAACCATTGCTACACCAATTTTAATTCAATTTCAGATTTTTTTAAAAAAATTCGCTTCAATCGCAAATCGCACCACCTCCCCCAAAAATTTGAGTTTCATCTTCATCATCGTCATTGTCGTCATCATTATTATCATCGGAGTCGTCGATGGTTGATGCTTTAATTGTTGTATCATCATATCTCGATATAAGAACACAAACTTTTAAATAAAACGGATGTTCAGTAAATTACTGAACATCCGTTATAAAGTGACAATAAAATGTGCAAAAGTTACACTAAAACGCACAAAAGTTACCTGACATATATAAGAGTTATTTATGCTTCATTGATAAATTTGACAAAAGTGACACTAAATTTGACAAAAGTAACACTAAATCTGACAAAAGTGTACCCGATGTACAGTAAATTACTGAAAACCGGATGTATACAAAAGTTTTTCATATAAGAAATATTGGGTGCGGATTGTTGCACCTAGGGGTGCTCAAAAATACCCGATTCATTGACCCGAAAGATTTATCCGTGTTTTTTTTAAATTAGTGGGTCGGGTACCCGACCCAAGTAAAATATCATATCTTCGGGTCGGGTCATGGGCCAACCTAGCTATGAGGGAGGCGGGAACTCGCTAATTCATAAGTTGTTTTTTTTGGGGGGGCTAAACCACTAAAACCAACAATTCATAGGTGTTAGGGTTTTTATACCCAACCAAATACCATATTCTCTCTCCTCTAGGTAGCCACCCATCTCTTTCTCTCTCCTTTCTCCTTTGTTTTACCGAGTTCACCCTTCCGACATCCACCGTCTTACACCACTCCTCCACTCTCTTCTGCGTCGCCATGCAAGCAACATGCACAACATGCAGCTACCTCACCATTTATAAAAGGAAAAATTAGAAAAAATAATCCCAACTTTCATCAATTTTGATAGAATAATCCCAACTTTCATTTATTCTGGAATAATCCGAAGTTTGGGGGTCTTCTTTTTCTTCAATCCCAAATACCGGTTACCGGTTGAATGGGTTTCTTGTTTTTTTTAAGTGACACATGTCACGCATTAATTGGTTAAAAAAATATTAAAACAAACAAAAAAAATAAAAACAAACAAAATTAAAAAAAAAAATCAGCCCCAAACCCCAAATTCGGCCAACCTGCGCCGGTCGGCCCAGCTTCTACTCCATCTCCGGCGGCTGCTGCTACTCCCTTCCCCTGCGCCGGTTTCCCCCCTCCCCCAACGCCGGTGATGCGACCCAGCTTCCTCCCCTCCTATTCCGTCGCCACCACCACTCGAAACTCCTTTTCCACCCACCACCACTACTCGAAACTTCCTTTAAATCTCTCCCCAACTCCTAAAAACCCCTAAGCACCCTTCCCCCACCATCGAAAATCCTAGCCTCTAGGGTTTTTTTACGGTGAGGAAGTGGTTGTTGGGGGATTTCTGGAGTGAGGGAGTGGTTTCGAGGGTGTTTGGAATGGAAAAGGAGGGGATTGGGGGTGGAGGTGGGTCGAAACACTGGCACAAAGGGTTTGGCGGGAAAGGGGCGCACTGTTTGGGCAGGGGAAGGGAGGGGTTGGCGCGGCTGGCGCTGGCAGTTGGTGGTGGTGGTGGGGGTTACGGTGGAAGGCAGGGATTTAAGGGTTTTTTTTAAAATTATTTTTTTTTTAATTTTTTTTGGACCATTTACAGCTTGACACGTGGTACATAACCTATTACAAAGGTCATTGACTTTCGTTGACCGGTTTAGGGTTAGCAAAAAAAGACCCCCTAAAGTTTGGATTATTCCAGAATAAATGAAAGTTGAGATTATTCTAGCAAAATTGATGAAAGTTGGGATTAGTTTTTCTAAATTTTCCTTTATAAAATTGCAATTTGTTAGCTTCTAACATGATGGAGTGTGTTAAGTTGGAGGATGATGGTGTAGACCGACATTATGGTGGCCGGATGAGGTATGGAGGGAGTTGTTGTGCGAGTGGAGTGTGTTTTATACTTCAATTTGTCACCATTCAAGCATTCATCAATTGCAATTTCTCTTTCTTAATTGGTTTTTGGATTGATTCTTCAATTTGACAAATTTTTGGTTTATGCTTAGTATAAATTGTATATAAGCTAGGTATATTGTTAGAGAAGGATAACTTTTGCACATTTAGATTGTTTTTACTAATTGAAGCTACTAATTCACACTACTAAAAATTAAAGTTTTTGCGACCGCCTCTAACGGTCGCAGAAAATAGCAAAAACGGTCGTAAAGGGGTGGTCGTTATTTACTTGGTCGCAAAAAAAAATTATTACGACTGTTTGACGGTCGCAGATTTATTGCGACCGTTTTTATTAATTTCAGCCGTAAATATAAACAATTGCGACCGGTAAAAGCAGCGGTTGCAATTTTGGAAATTAGTGACCGCTTTTAGCCGTCGCTAAAATTAAAAAAAAAACCAAAAAAAAAAAAAGAAAATTCACCCCCATCCTTGCTCTTCACAACCACGCTTCCCACCACCACCCAAGCCAACTCCACCACTGCCTCTTCCCAGCCAACCACCTTTACCCACCAACCAAACACCTCGAAAACACCACCCAATCACCTCGACAATCCCAACCAGCCACCACGAAAATGAAACCCAAAAAAAACCCAGCAAAAATCAAATATGGTCGAATTCAACCAGCAAAAATCAACCCAAAACATAGATAAAATCAAACCCAAAAAAAAACCAAATTGAAATTAAACAAAATCAAACATAAACCCAAAAAGAACGAAATACTCAAACATAAAAATCAAACAAAGTTAACCAAATTGAAATGAACAAAAATGGAACCCAAAAATAACAAAAACCAAACAAACCAACAAAAATTAACCCAAACACGAATAAAATCAAACCCAGAAAAAAAAATCCAAACAAAAATTCAACGGAAAATAAAAAAAAAACAGCAAAATTTTAATGAATAACACATGGAAATTCAAATTAATAAAAGTAATAAACCACAAAATCGAAAATAAAACAATTATCAAACCAAAATCAACAAAAAAATCAAACCCGAAATGAAATTAACAATAATCAACCCAAAATTCGAAACGAAAATCAAACATACTTTGTAATATTAACAAAAATCAAACAAAAAAATCGCCCAAAAATTGAACCCAATAATTATACCTAAAAAAATAAATCCACAACAATTAAACCAACAAATTCCAACAAAAATTCCAACAAAAATGAAATAAAACCCTCATAACTCGAAAACAATCATAAATTAAACCCACCTTTGTCAATATTTTTTCCTCTAATGTTTCATATGGTCGAATTCGACCACAAAAACTCCAGATCTGGAATTTTTATGGTTGAATTTGACCATTAACACCATAATTCGTTTGTTTATCGTTGAATAAGGATTCTCTATTGCCTAGACGGAGGGAGGAGCAGAAGAAGAAGAGGAAATAAATCAGGGAAAAGAGGGAAGAGAAGGGGAAAGGTCAGGGAAAGAAGAAGAGAAAAGAGGAGAGAGGCGTGAAAATGAGAGGAGAGAGAAAATGAAGAGAAAATGAGAGGAGAGAGGCGTGAAAATGAGGGGCGGTTGTTAGGGTTAGTAAATTAGGGTTGAGGTGAGATGAGTAGTATTTATACGCGAATATTTTTTTATTAAAAAAAAGCTTTTTACGACCGTCTTGACGGTCGCAAATTTTGACATTTACGACCGTCTCTTTGACGGTCGCAGATTATGAATTTTACGACCGTCTTTGACGGTCGCAGATTAGGACATTTACGACCGTCTCTAGGACGGTCACAGATTATGACATTTACGATCGTCTTTGACGGTCGCAGATTATGACATTTACGACCGTCTCTTAAACGGTCGCAGATTATGACATTTACGACCGTCTTTGACGGTCGCAGATTATTACATTTACGACCGTCTCTTGGACGGTCGCAGATTATGCCATTTACGACCGTCTTTGACAGTCGCAGATTAGGACATTATGACGACCGTCTCTTGGACGGTCGCAGATTATGACATTTACGACCATCTTTGACGGTCGCAAACGATTTATTTTAATTTAGAAATATTTTTAATTGTTAAAACATCCTAGCGACCGTCTTAAAAGCTGAAAACGGTCGCAAATTTGCGACCATTGTCAAAGCAGTCGTAATATTGAGATCGCATAAAAAACGGTCGCAAATTTCATATTTTGCGACCGTTTTTCAGACGGTCGTAGAAAAACGGTCGCAATTTAGCCGAATTTTAGTAGTGTCAGGTACCCGCTGACCCGACCCAGGAAACCTGGGTACCCGTATTTCGGATAACTTTGAGTATCCGGGTTTCTCGGGTCATGTGCCAAGTTTCAAACTACCCGAAGATTCGGGTACCCGCTTTTTCGAGTATCTGAAAATTCGGGTACCCGAATCTGAACACCCTTAGCTGCACCTAATAGTTTGTGTATTTATTATTATTATTATTATTTTTTTTTTTTTTTTTTTTTTTTTTTTTTTGGATAAGGTAAGAAAAATAAACCGTAGAATCAAAAGCCCTCTTACATGGAAATTCCTAATTATGGTTTGTATATTGTCATGTAATAATCACATAAACCTTCCCACGAGGCCACGACCAACATATCTAATGCATGTCTTTGGTATACTTGGAAAACACTCCACCCTAAACTCCAATTTCCTTGGCTGGCAAACTAGGTTCTTTCACAAATTTCTGTATTTCTCTTGATCTAAACCAATACTCAGTACGCAGTACTAAATACGTATCACGTATGTACATGGATTGAATCCAATGATAGTCAGCACCTAACCCCATTAACTTTGGCTTGCAAAATATAGTTTGCTTCTAGTAAATCACTAAGATTACCTAAAAAAATTAAAAAGTAAATAAATAAATTGATTATCTCATTGTTAATCTTATTTGTATATTATATTAATAACATACCTGATTAATAGACATTAAAATTTCCTCAAGAGGGCATCCATGCGCAAGAACACCTACCTAGGAATAATTATCGATCATTTTTTAATTTGATGGTTTGTTTTTGTTCAAGAGAGGTAATTAGCTAGCTAGATAGGCTGGAGAGAGTAAAGGTAGAGAGAGGAGCAACGGAAAGAAAGAGGAAAATGCATAAAATGTCATGTTTTAAAGGGGTAATTCCAAGTTTCTCTTCTTGATAAACAAGAAGCGTTTCTCATGAGGGTAAATTTGGAATTACCTATTGACGGAGTGAACCTACCGTTACCCCCTTGTTAAACTTACCCCCTTTTGCAATTTACCATTGTCGTGAGTACTGCCCAGAATTAATTAGTTCCCACCTCCGGCGATAAATCGTCGAAAGCGGGAGACAAATTTGAGGTGTCGATCAATTAAAAGGACTGCTAACAGTAGGAATAAGCTTCAATGGAGGGAATGGAGTCTAAAAGGAGGAATTCGAACTCGATGACAGCTTCAATAGAGGAATTATTCAAGTTCGATGACAGCTAGCATCAATGGAGGAAGGTAACCCTTACCCTTTGGGGTTAACCATGCCATAAATTTTACCTTTTCTTATTGGGTTTTTCGTTTGATTTTGGCGGCGAAGCCGCCTATGTTCGCCGCCGATAATGGTGGTTGTCCCCGGTGTAGACGAAAGAGGAAGATGATGGGGTGACGGTGGGGACGAAAGTGGAAGATGATGAGGTGACGGTGGGGACGAAAGAAGATGGTGGAGGTGTTTGTTGTCGGTGGAGGTGGAGATGAAGGCAAGCTGAAATGGAACGCCGCTAACGTTACACCATGTAATGGCTTCTTCAGTAGTCCACGTGACTTCCTCAATGGAACTCACAGTCAGCATTTATTCATCTTAAAAACCATTTGTTTACAATTCCCTAGGCGTTTTTATTACACATTTTCCACTAGAGAAACACTTCTTGTTTATCAGGAAGAGAAACTGGGGCGCCCCCGTTTTAAAGAATATAGAACGAACTATTGATAGTAATTAACTAGAACCTTCTGATCTTTCGACGCTAATGACTAGAAATTATAGGTCATAATCGAGACTAAATAGATTAATCAACCTTAATTATGACTTGGAATAATACTAGAATTGACTACTTCTTGCTTGTACAAGTCCACAATGCAAGATAGGATCCATACTAGTCCAAGGTGGGGTTAATTATCATAGCAATGTGATGCATGTTGATGATCATTATTATAATTGTAGGCTCACTAGAGACTAATTAAACAGATTACTCAACCTTAATTATGTGATAATGACTTGGAATAATACTAGAATTGACTACTACTAGTTGCTAGTACAAGTCCACAATGCAAGAAAAGATCCATTACTAAATGTCCAAGGTGGGGTTGTCATAGCAATGATGCATGTTGATGGTTTCTTTAATTTTTGAGGTTTCAAAACAACAATCGATACGATCAGATTCAAAATTGACCTGAAAAATATTCGATTAAAATTTGACTTGTGAACATAATAAAAATTTAGCATGAATCAAGTTTTAAAAGAGATCTGATGTAACCCGACCTCATCTAACCTGATCTGAACACCCGAATTAACATTTGATTCCACATTCATGCATGTTTAGCAGTTTCTTAACTAGGCGGCCATGGTGGGGTAGGGACGTAGGGTGAATTGTTTCGTAACACATACTTATTTTTTACAAAATGATGAAATAAAATATTTTACTCTACGTATTTACTTTCTCTCAGATAGAGGTGATCAAAATTCAGGTTGGGTTAATTATTGCACCTTGGCATTAAAACTCATGACCAGACTAAAAAGTGTTAGGTTTTTTAGGACCGAATTCGTGTTTTTAACTAAAAATGTATTTTTATGCTTGTCTAAACGTGCACATTTTTTGGGTAGCGGGCAAGGCCATAGTTGATGATCACCTTTATTTTCTCCATTTTTTTTATTACTTCACTAATATTTCAAAAATTGAACAAAATGTCATGTTACATGATCTACGCTACATTTCAAAGTGCATAGAGGGAAAAGAGCTTACGTGATCTTAAAGGGTAATAAAGCAAACCATTTGCATCAACTACTACAAGCCATAGCGATTACAAGCCAGAAGAGAGGATTCATTTTTGTTTTATTTCTTGGCTGTTAAAAAAAAAAAAAAAAAACTACATTTTATAATTTCTCACTCTTATCCTTTAAAAAATATGACAAATGCTAAAGTAAATATAAATAGAATAACTATTTATTTAGAGCTTGTTTGACATTGTTTTATTTTTCTGATTTTTTTAAAACAAAAAACTAAAAACAAGCAAATTAAAAGGTAATACGTAATATCATACATATATCATATCATTACAACTTAAATCATATATATACCCCCCAAAGGTAAATTATTCAACACAAAAGTAATGCAAAAACATAGGAAATTTAAAAGGTACATTCATGACTCAATTTATGCCTCAATAGGATCAACAAGAATAGTTGCAACTTTTTCTTGGATAAACTTGCCGATAGTATAGCCATCTTCATCATCCTCATAAACGTCATATAATGTCCTTGTTACGTTGAGGACTCGAAGTACCAAAGGCATTGGAACATTTCTTGGCCCGGTTAATTCTTCATTTATGTCCTTCCATGCTTCCTCAATGTGTGATCGGAGCACCTTCGTAGCTTCTTCAATGGAGGTTCCAAATTGATCCATGTAGCAATCTATTGCAGATGAAACATGACCTCTACTCTTCTCAAACTACAAATTCCATTATGATTAGTGGCGGATTTATAAAAAATAAACAAAGGTCTCAAAAAATAAGATATTAAACAAAATATGAATAAAATAACACAGAGTAGCAAAGATTACAAAAAATACATTTTAAAATTTTAAATAAAAGTAGGGACACTTTATTTATATATATATATATATATATATATATATATATATATATATATATATATATATATATATATATATATATATATATATATATATATATATATATATATATAATATCATTCAATCATGATCAACTATAGACACATATGAAAACATCACGTGCCATTGTTGTTGTTCTTTTTAATTATTATAGCTGTGATGATGATTATTGTTATAAGTAATTAGTTGTCCAATTCTAATTATGTAAGTGATACAATTTACACCAAAATTTCATGTTATATCCATCCTTATCAAATTTAGAAATTAAAGCAATATAACAAGTAATTTAGGACAAAAGAGCCTCCTTGAACAAATTAAAGTACGCGTAGTTGTCACCTTAGATAAGAGGAAGTACATACCTTATGGCTACTAATGTCATTCAAGAGCCTAGCAAGTATGCATGAAGCTTTTATAGTCTTTGTTGTTTCATTGACCCATTCGAAGGCATGTTTATTCGCCAACTCCCCCATGCCTTGATAAGCAGCAGTAATCACGTACACATAGCCAGAGCTTACAATGCCATTTCTCATGTATTCGTCGAATGTTGGAACAATGTTATGGTGATGCCAAATAGTTTCTTGGATGTAAGATTGAAACATAGCTTTCATCTATCACATAGAATAAGATATTGATTAATGTTCTTGTATGATTTCTCAAGAAAAACAAATAATTATTATGGTGTATATAAATTAAGCTAGTTTTAGTATGTATGTACTTGTTGTTGTTGATAATAAACAGCATATGCACGTTGCTCCAATGCTAAATCTTGCTCAATTTCGTCAAATGTATCAAACATAACTTGAGAAATTGCTCTCATGTAGCTCGGAAGTTGACCGATGCAGCTTTTGTCCCACCTATTATTTCACCAATTCGTTAGCTTAGTTTTCTAATTAGTACATTAAATAATAAATAGGTTGAATGAAAAAAGGTTTAGGAGTAGTATGTAATCTGTTAAATTTTGAAACAATATAATGGGTCCGGACAACCTAAACAAGGTGGAGAGTTTGGTCCATAAACTAGGCTTAGAAGCTTTTATACTAAAACCAATTGGCAATAGTATGAGTTACTCCGCTACCTTATAAAGTGAAACCATCTCTCCTCTTTCTCCAATGTGGGACACTCACAAATGGGCAACAATGGGTTTCAACATAATCATATGATGCATTTTTATAAACAAACCTTTGAATCGCTTCTGCGAAGGGTTTTAACTCTTCAATAATTCCATAAGAGTCGTAGATGTCATCTATGACGGATATAATGTTGAACAATTTGTTTAGCAACATTCTTGCATACGAGTACTTAGGTTCATAGTACACACCCAAAATCCAAAAGTAGGCCTCTACCACTCTGTCTCGAACAAATGGGTATTTTGTGACCATGTCAAGACTTCTCCACCACCTAATAAGTTAGGATAAACAATAATTAAAGTTAAGAATTTTCAAAGCATTTCATATTTAATTAATAATTATTGTAGATTGAAAATAACTCCACAAATTTACCTAGTATGATCTCTTAGCTCCTTGTTGTGCAATATTTGAACCAAGTTGAAATCTAACTTTGCAAATTTCAGCAAAGCTTCATTGTGGAAAGCCTTTGACCCATAAATTGATATATAATACCGCGATTCTAGCCTTATACTGCGTCTATGGAGGGGTTGTTTCAAAGCATGGGCTATTTGTTCAGCCATAGGAGAGCTTAATTGTGTAGCAAGGGAGGTTAGGTGAGTAGTAGCAAATGAACGAGCTCCGTCCGGTGTATTTTCTCCGTGCACTCCTAGAAATGATGCTTCATACAAGCTCAATAGGCCTTGCACATCACTTGCTAAACAATCCTTAAAGCTTCCGTTCTCACATTTGAAGTTTTCAAATACATCTAGGTTAATATCGTACGTGTTAATATAGTATAAATAAATTTGACACGAACAATATAATGGAGGTGAAGATGCAAGGTGATTATGTAACATACCACATGAAACATTGAAGCCATGTTGTCGTAAGAGACGAAAGCGTAGAGAAACATAGTAAAGATCATCCTTGTAGGAACTATCATCATACATCTTCTTATAGAAATTTCGAAAAATGTTTTCGATTTCATTTTCAAATTGGTATGCAACTCCAAGGCGATGTATGTCATCTAAAAGCACAAGCCTTTCCTTTGGATCCTTATGAACGTCCAAAATTTCTTTGCGCACTAGCTCTTTGAGCTCTTCCGCCCCTTGCTCCATTCGGCCTTGGGTAACCTAAACCAAGAAATGTTTTTAGCATAAAAACAAAGAATTATGGATAGTCTCTTCTCAAAAGACTTAGATTGTCATATTAGGGAAGAAAATTAGCCCAAGTCTACCATTATTATATTAGTGAAGAAAATTAGCCGAAGCTAGTCAATATGGGACAATTTATGCCATTTATGCCATTTTTGTTTTATCTTGCTTTTGAAATTCAATACCATATTTAATAAAAAATTTATAATATGCAAATGAAAGAAAGTGAAAAACCAATCTCATTAGCTACTTGTACAATACAAATAATGGATAAACCTTCGTAAAAACCAAATGAATTATGTTAATGATGATAATTACAATAACAAGCTATAGGCCTATAGCTATAGGAGTGGAAGCCCAGATTAGTTCTAAGCTTTTTACTAATTTTATGTAAATCTTTTGAGTTTATAATAAAATCATGTTTTCATAATAATAATAAGAGTTTTTCTCAGCTATATGCCCCCAAGTTCTTCGGTTTCTAAGCTGTACTCATGCTTTTTCAAAGTTATAAGCTATGCCCTCCACCTCACGATATTTTATCAACAATATCCTTTGACAGCCATATCTGTTAACGAAAGTTAAGTGATTTTATCAACAATGATGTCGTGTCGTTATTAATTTGACATGTGTCCTGTTCTAATTGGTTTAACACTTTAAAAATTTAAAAAAAAAAATCAGAAAATAAAATAATAATAAAAAAGTTATTGTTAACGTATAAGGTTATTGTTAGTAAAAATTAGTGAGGTTGAGGACATAGTTTAGACGTTTGAAAAAACATGGGCACAGCTTAGAAACCGAAGAAGTTTGGGGGCATAAATTAGAAAAGCCCTAATAATAATAATAATAATAATAATAATAATAATGATAATAATAAATTTGAAACCTCGTCCGGGGGAGCATAGTTGAGGAAGCGATCACCCCAGATATTGGGAGGATAATTAGCAAGGGGACGAACAACTTCTGCTGCCTCGTTCTTACACTGCATATTCACTCAAATAATTTTGAAAATTGAAAGAGTTTATTCTTAAATCTTTAGAATGAATAATTTTGTTCTATGAAGCATTGAACTCTAAATCACGTACATTTATAAGGGAAGAATTCTACCCCTACACGTTACATCTTTGTCGTGTATTGCATGTATTTTGTACGCTTAAGCTGAAATTTAAGCATTAAAGTGATTAAATTTCACTTAAATTATGACTAGTACGTGTAGATTTTTCAAAGTCAATACTTGTGGAATAATGGAATATAATGAAGTAGCAAGTTGACAAGTTGTTCTTTATTATTTCGTCAAAAAAAAAAAAAAAAGTTGTTCTTTATTATTAAATGTAAAAATGTTGACTTTTATTTAATTGATCATCCATAGTAAGTGGGCTAGATTCCCATGCATGGCATATTCATACAAGTTACGGAGTAATTAATCCCTTAGTAACTTCAATTTATACTGATGTAATTGTTAGCATCAGTTTGGCTTTTACGACCAGTGTTCGTGTTTAATGCATAAGATTAAAAATACTGATGTATATCAGTATATGTACTTATTAGAGCCATCTCATTGTAAAATTTTCAAATATCTACCTTTTATAATAATAATGTAAACTTATTGATATATTTTTCGTTTCTCAATATTTGCATTATAATATAAAATATCAATGCACTATTTTGCACTATATATATATATATATATATATGGGAGGAAATGTAGGATGGGCGGACATCTTTTACGGGTTTGGATTTAAACCCGGTAGAGCTGGTTAATGGGCAGATATGTTTGGTAAAGCAGACATATCGGCCTGTCGATACTTGGCACGTGGCAAGAGCAGCTTCACACTTGGCAGAAAAGGGTTTTGCATGCTTTGTGGACACCTGTCATGATCCTTATTATAAATAGTAGGTTGGGAGTCATTAATAAGGTATTAATTACACTCTCTCTCTCTCTGTTTCTCTCTCTTCTTTCTCTTTCTTATCTTCCTTCTCTAAAACACATTCTAACTTTGTCATCGGAGTGGTTGTCCCCGGATCACCCCGGGGTTAGCTAACTTCTGTTCAAATTGTGTAGGTTCTCGGGCTGCCGATAGGGGTATCAGGATCTCGAATTCGGGTTCTCGGGTTATCGGATCCAGACAGAAACAATATATATACTTTGTAGTAATGGGAGAAATTAATTAAAAGGGACAAAAGAATCAGTACGTATTAAAAATACTTTTTGCTTACTAGCTAGTCAAGTCTTGTTAAGATCATTATATACATCTAATTACCCAGTACACCCAAAGGTATTTACTTATCATTTAGATGATTATTGTTCCATTAATCATCAAATGAAATGCATAACCTAACCTTTTGTTAATTAGGTGCACCGTGCACCTGAATGTATATAAAAAATTTCAGCTATTGACTTATCAAGTGTAGAAAAATCAGACGGTTTTGGCATGTCACCAGCTAATATATATTCTCGATCACTAGACTATCACTATTTACCCTGGTCCATCCACCCAAGGGCAATAAGTTCAGAATAACCTAGCAAAATCCAAGTATGGAAGCATTTGAAGAAGAAAAGAAATATATTGCAAGATCAATTAAGAAAATTTAATTAAGGCAAGACCAAATCAAGGAAGATATGGGATCAATCAATAATCAATCAAGATAGTTTCCTTAATTTTAATTTTAGAAGAAATGTACAGAAAACCCTAGCTGCTATACATAATAGGAAAGAAAAACATATAAAAGCCTCATTCACATTCGACTAGTGTAGTTCACCTTATATTTTATTTGTCTGATATGATCTAATCTAATCTGGTCTTCTGATCCAATTTGATTGTCTGATTTGACCAAATTTTCACCTTATGTACTGTGTATGATAATCTTAACCGGAAACATATACCATGTTGGGTCTTGTTAGGTTCGTAAGGAGTAATAATGTTTTATTGATATGTATATGTAATTTTCATTACGAAATTAAAGACATTTAACAATAAGAAAGCACACATAAACAAAATGATATAATGCGTCACAACTTTTTTTTTTATATGATATGAACTTATTTTTTCTAACTTAAGTAAATATAAGGTGAACTAAACATGCTTTAATATGCTATTCAAAAAAAAAAAAAAAAAAAAAAAAACATGCTTTAATCTCAAATATTCAAGAGCTATTCTAGCTTATCATTTCTCAGTATTGTAGTGCAACTTCAGATATGTCTCTTACTTTTTGTCTATTTTCTAGATTAATTCCTCTATTTGTATTAATTTCTTAAATTAACATTGTACCTCCTGATCTAAACTGAATTATTTTTTAATAATATCGTTTTAGTATGTTTGTTGATTATTAAACCACTCAATTCCTTACTTCTAAAAGACTTTTCGCCCAGTACACTCAGCACAACATTTGAGAAAAAGACTTACTAGACTAGTCAACTCAAACACTGTAAATATATACTTCTATAGTTAGAAAGTTCAACTTTATAACATTTTTTTTTTAATCCAATATTTTTTTAATGCACGATATATGATTAGAAAGTTCAACTGTTTACAGCTAATTCCGTTGGATAAATGTGACTTTTTTTTTTTTTTCAACATTTGAAAATCTCCTTAAATAAAAAATAAAAAAGGTTTTTCTATATAGTAACCCTGTTAATTTTGTTTTTTTTAAGTTGGTTTTATTTTTGGTGTTTAAAGAGCCACAAGGGCGGGTGTTGAGAATCGATCCCAATATCACCTGGAATCGGGAAGAGAGCTCTATCCACTTGAGCTATCCTTCACTCTCTCGTTTTTCTACGTTGTGCCCCAATATATATCACTTTCTACACTGTAACCTTAATATATATACATTTTGTTTCCATACGGTAACCTTGTCGTTATCCCGCTGTCAAAAATTACGTTAGTGGGGCCCACTCTCAATTTATTAATATTTTCTTAATCAATTTACGCGCTGGGAAATGTTCCGTTGCAATTTCACAAAAAAATAATGTAAATGCCTCGTTTTGCTTATTAAGTAAGGTCCAATATAGCTCCGAAAACCTTTAATAGAACATTTTTCAACTCGCAAATCGATAAAAAATATTAATAAATTGAAAGTGGGCCCCACTAACGGAATTTTAACGGCGGGATAACGGCAAGGTTATCGTATGAAAACAAAATGTATATTGAAGTTACAGTGTGGAAAGTGATATATGTTGGGGCACAACGTAGAAAAGTGAAATTAACAGGGTTATTATATAGAAAAACCCAAATAAAAATAAAAAATAAAACTAACAGTACTTAAAACAAACACCTGAACTAGACCTATTGAAAAGGATTTAAAAAATTCAGGCATAATTTAACTAGATTTACCGTTGAAGAATAAACCTCTCAAGTGTTAGTACATGTAAGTGTCCCACATTGGTTGAAGAAGAGAGAGTTAAACACTTTATAAGGCTAAGGGGCTAGTCCTCCTATTGCCATATGATTTTGTGATGGATTCTCATTTGAACTTGTAAAGTAGACTATCTCTCTCTTGGTTTGCGGGTGCGGCCCAGGCCCGTGACTCAACCAAAAGCATAAGTTGATGGTTGAGGCCCAGGAATATGTTTTATACTCTATCATTTACATTAAAAGAGTCGGTAATCAATTTATGAAACATATTAGAAAAGGAGAGGAAGTAGTAATACAGTATGAAAATGCATAACAAATACTCCCTCCGTTTTTAAATACTTGCTCTCTTTCTTTTGGGCACGAATACAAATGCTAACATTTGATCAATAATATCTTTAATTATCAATAAGTATAAATTTTAACAATTGAAAAATTAATAATCTATTCATTGAAACGATTCTAACAAGTACCCAGAAGACTATATTTTTTCTTATGTATAAATCACAAACATTAGTCAAAGTAAGACAAATAAATAGTGTAAAAAATAGAAATGGAGCAAGTACTCCCTCCGCTTTTTTTTTTATAAGAGTTCTATTTCTCTTTTTTTTTACGGGAATTAAGATTTTTGTAGATTCCTTAAACCATGGGATTAGAAGTACCAAAGTATATTAAGTTGATTAAATAACAAGTGAGAAAAAAAGAAAAAATAGGTTAATAAATTAGGAGGTTAAATGCCAAAAAGAAGAAGAAGTACCTAAAAAGAAGAAGAAGAATGAGGAGAGATAACATATGTTGGTGGATTAAAATAAATACCAAAAATATTAAAAAATCAGTTAAAATTGAGGATAATTTGGGGATTAAATTAGGAGAATGAGGTTAAAATTATTAAAAAAAATAAATTAAAAACACTTACTAAAAAGGGAAAGATTCTTACTATGAGACTTTAATTTTTATTTGCCAAAAAAAGAATAGTGGACTCTACTAAAGGACGGAGGGAGTATTTAAAAATTGAGGGGGTACTAAAATGTTGGAAATCACATGAAAAAAGAAAGAGAAAGGAGAAGATAGATAGATAAGTCAGACCACTTTTGATTGTACCACTAAAAGCTTATACTTCCTCCGTTTTTGCGTAACTTACCTATTTCCTCCTTTCTTTTATCCTTGCTTGTTTTTATTTACCACGCTTGCCAGCACAAAACTTTAACGGTATAGACACCAAAATGTGTCTCCTCAAAACCAAACCCAGTGATGAATACCTTTCATGACATTTGATTATCGAACAAAGCGAAAGTGCGAAAAGTCTAGTGAAAAGGATGTTTTTATTAAAATATCTTTTCTTTCTGTTTTTAAAAATATTTCTTTTCTTACCTTATTTATGAAAAACGTGCATTCCAGTTTAGGTTGTTCCATGATAAGGGTCCAATAATAGTGTAGTTGGATGGGTCTTGAAAAGACATTTCCAACGATATATTATAAGCCTAATTCCGATGAATAATGAGGAAGTTATGGCCAAAATACTAAACTAGGCCCGGTTTGGATTTTATATGCGGCCCAATGATCTAGAGGAGCGCCTATTATTAATTTTCATTCCTAAAGCTATTAGGATTGATTATAGTCTTCTAGAATATTCTAGAAGGTTCTTGTAAATCCTAATGGAGTTAGGATTGATAATTATGTTTTAAAGAGTTTGAAATTGAATAAAACTA